CGCGATAGGGTCACATCGACCACTGGCCTGTTCGATGCACAAGAGCTCGCGAGGCCTAGTCTCGCAGATGATCTCACGGCTGAGCTGGAAGCGTGGTGTAGAGGTTCCATGGGTTTCCTCCTAGACGAGGGCAACACACGCCATGAGAAGACAGCGCGAGACACCGGCAGTGTGAAGCATTCTCCAAGCGGAGCGAACCTCGACGGCTTCACTCCGATGTTACCTCAAGATGAGTGCCTCGGTATGGCCACCGGAACCCGGGTGCCGCGTGCTCTTAGCAAACAGGTCACAAGCGAACACCAACCGGGAGCCAGTTATGTGGACCGGCCGAGTGCCATACCACATATGGACTCGTGGCTCGAAAGCGGGCTCGATGAGTCGGTGTCGGCCGCGATTGAATCCCCTGGTCTTCCTACTCGGACGATAAGTTCTCCACGAGTTGATCGGGGCAGTCTGACTGATAAGATATACAGCGAATTGGATGGTCTCAACTTTTCCACTCTCTCGCTCTCACGCGAGCTCGACGATCCTCCTGTTATCTCGAAGGCGGAAGCTCCCAGGTTCCCACCACCTCGAGATGGACCGATCCTGTCTAGCAGCGCTGTTCATTCCTCAGCCGCAGTACGACCCGATATATCCAACAATAGCGATCTAAGCTTGACTGACGAGCAAGAGATTCCGAAGCGGAGGCAATCGTACGGGGAGTTGAAGAGAGACGCTGCGCGCCACAGCCGTGCTTGCCCTTCTCGGTCGAGCCCCCCGACTGACGTTGAGCTTCATCACTCTCGTGAATCGGACCCAACTTTGGTGGATTCCGCTGAGCATTTTGCGGGCCACGGTATGGGGAACTATAATCTTGTACGCTCGAGTACTCTCTATGGGTCGGAGGCTTGGAGCTCCGACAGGGGGGAAACATTGATCGAGCGAACTAGTGATGATACTGTCCAGGGCGAACTGACCTCCATCAAGTCGAGTGATGCGCCAGCTGTAGTATTCACTACTTCAAAGAGTGATGCGAAATGCGAGTATCCCAGACGAACGCGATCGACTTCGGTTGTTAGTGGGGTCCGGAAATCCCAAATAGTCGATATGTTCCTCAAGGACCCTTCTAGGCGCACTGAATCGAGCTCGCGCAGATCCAGCAAACTGAGCATTGAAAACCTGCTGCGGTCGAGGAGACAAGGGGAGAACATCACAGTGGTTGAAGCGAGTGATGCCGCCGTGCAAGACTCGATATTAAGTCCTGAGTCCGCCGCCAGCGGGTACCCCTACACTGGTGCTGAAGAGCCATGCGTATCAGTTATGGGAAGCGAGGTCATCGAGTCGAGAGCACAGCCCGTTGAAGACGGCTCATTGGACTGTGGTGCTCATGCGGCATCGTCGCTGGCTAGGGCCGGACCCACGCTAATGGTCGTTTCATCCAATGTATTATCTTCCGTGCGTCTCTTGGAGCGTCCTTTGCCCCGGGATGGTATGGACTTCTCATCGAGCCTTTCACCGAACAGAGTTATGGCTTTTCCTGCTGCAGAAGCTATGCAATCAAACCCCTCTAAAAATAGCGATGTGTCGAGCACAGGGCCGACATCGCAGGGGGGTGATGGGAGAGCCGGAGATGTTCGAGGCCTCGACGCAGGAGACACTGATCCAGACTTGCGGACAGCCGCTCTGACCCAACCCCACAAAGTCTGTCGAGAGCTCCGGGAGGCAGAAGTGCCCCGACATAACAGGCTACCACTTCCAGTGTGCGCAACAGATCTGTCGAGTAACGGTCTCCACGAGCTAGAGGAACCCGTCCTGCAGTTTTCGGCCTTGTCTCCGCCTTTGCTGGAGAATACTAACGAGGATTGTCATTCCTCATGGCTCAGCAGCCCAGTCGGAAGCTCTGTCACTATTCTTGGTCATACTGTGAGCTCGGTTGATAGTGAAGGGGATGGCGAGGGTTCCTGGGCTGTTGCGGCTATCGATCCATATCGACTGCAAGATGGTTCAAAGGTCTGGCAATGCGCCATAAAATCACTTCGATTGGGTATCTCGCTGATGTGAGCTCTGTCGGGCTCGGTATCGGCATTTGCTCTAACCCTATTGGAGTTGCCGACTGTAATGCGGCCTCGGAACTGCCATCTTCGGTCATGCTCGGTTACGATTGCTCTGGAGTGTTTGCGCATGGTATTCTGCGACCTGCCGCTGGTGTGATCGTTGAACAGTGGGCGCGAAATCTCAAAGTCGGGGATATCCTCACTCTCGGGTTATACCGCGATGAGCTGCAAGTATGGGTGAACTGGAAAATGGTTCAGTCCGAGACCCTGCGGACTGACCTCATCGACGACCCTCATCTGGTGGTTGAACTTGTAGGGGCTGTAGCAAGCGTCGGCCTTCACGATCATTACCAGATCGGTGTCTCCGCACACAGGTTGAAACAAGGGTGAAAAATGCGTCATTGGATCATTGAAAATCAACCCAACGTTGGTTCTCCTCATGCCCTCACTGTTGTGTTCTAGTTCGTTGAATACTGGGAAGTTTTGGGCAACCCGGGCTGTTCGAGTCTCTCGCAGGATCATTACGGATGTAGAAGAGCTTCTCTAGACGATAGGGAGATCGGAGGTGCTCTCCGAACGGACCTCATATCTCACCTCTTACGTGTAGTCGTCGTTATCGCTATGGCTGTCGACTCACACGCCCTTATTGAGCGCGGCTGGGGTCCTGAGACTCCGGCCAACTACACGAAGAAAGATGTTATTCTATACGCGCTGGGTGTGGGAGCATCTGAGCTCCGATATGTTTACGAGAACAACGATGAGTTCTCCTGCCTGCCTTCCATGCCTTTCGGTGAGCGCTGGTTCCTGTTTCTTGGTACATGGTCTCCTCTCAGCTCTCACTTTCAAGGGAGGTAACTCCGCCGACGTGCTTCCATTTCCGCCCCAGCACTTCATGGGTGCCATGGACCAAATCCCACCTCGAGGTGAGTTTACAGCCGATGCTTCGAGTGCTGTACCGCATCAAAGGACCGGTCTTGGACGGCGAAAGATCGATGAAGTTATTCAAGTCATTGCCAACTTCGGCCGAGAATTGGGCGATGAGGAGCAGGGTCACAGCAATCTCACAGAAACGCTCGGGAGTGAGTTTACAGCATTGCAGTTCGTAAATCTTCCGATATTCTGACGTAGGCTGTCGTTGAATCTGAGACTGTCATCACCGATAAAAGTACTGGGGAGAAGTAACCTCTTAGCTCTTCCCGAGTTCTCTCGCTGAATCTCTGACTTTCAGATGTGTTCTCCTGAGAAATTC